GTGAAATGGCTTGAACAGGTCTTACATTTACAAAGGCAAAACAAGGTTTGAAAAATAAAGTTTCCCAACAGTTCTATTTTAACAATTATGTGTTGTGGGAAGTTTCATTTTCCATTTCCTTTGCCAGGGCAGGCATTTGCGGGGTAATTGCAACAAGAACAAAAAGGCAAAGCCCCCAGAAAGAGAAACAGTCTGAACAACAAAAGCAATTCAGCTCACCCTTTGGTATTACAGCTCTTAGCCTTTGCAGCTGTCTTTCTCTCATCCCTCACTCACTTCCGCTTTCTCCCTTCAGGGAGGCAGCTTTTGACCTTTTTAAACTCTGTCGTGCTTGGCCTTTTCTTCCAGGCCTCCCTGGCCTCCTCTAAGGCTATTAGCCTTTAGAATGGTGCTACTCAGAAACACCGCACAGAAAGGTGCCAGTGCACAAAACAAACACACCAGGCAACCGCTTTGACTCTTTTCAGCCGCTATGTCCAGCTCCTTTTGCCATATACATGCAAAAAAGGGACGAGAGGAGGAAAAGTCAGAAAGTTCTACACACTTAAAAGGTGGACTATTGGAAATATCCTCAACTTTGTAATGATCTTGAAATAAACTTTTCAATCTAATTGTGGAGTTTGAAAATAGTAGCTTTCTAAACTCAGAAAAGCAACATAAAGTGGCTTAGTGTCATCTCAAAAGTCCTGACTTAGAGTGCATCTATACTGTGCAATCACTGTAGTTTGACACCACTTGAAGTGTCATGGCTCAATGCTATCGAATAATGGGATTTCCAGTTTGGTGAGGCACCAGCGCTCTTGGGCAGAGTAGGAAAAAGACCTTGTAAAGTCAAAACTCCCATGATTCTATAACATTGAGACATAGCAGATAACTGATATCAAACTTCATTCCTTCTGCAGTGTAGGCACACCCTTAGTGGTACAGATAGATTCACCAGCTTTTAAAAATGTTTTGCATGAGCAGAGACTGGGAGATGGCACATTAAAATTTTGCATATTCATATTGGGTGTCTAAAAAATAAACTGGGGATACCCTCCTCCCAATGCTGGCATCATAAGTATTCATTGGTGAAAACAAGATATTGTTTAAGAGGGACCAGCAGAACAACTGGCCATAATTGTGGCATAAGTAACTATATTTAGACACAAGAAAATGTTAGGTAAGGTGCTTCACAGCAGCACGTCATCTTTCTATCTGCCCTTCTCTTAAAACACCTTTTTAAAAAGTGCCTGAGCATTTGAATCCAAATGCCTTAGCATTCACAATTGGATCAGAGCTCCCCATGCCATTCCCTGCATTGTTTTAACTTGTTGATGAAATGGTCTCAATGTAATATGACCTGATACACACTAACTTTTGTCAAAATCTGTGCAAATGGCATGTTTGATGCAAGTGTGGTGTGGTTATTTGATCGTCCAATGAAATTTTGTTTCATCTAAACACAAAATAAATAAATACGTTTTGCACAACATTTTGTGAGAACATTCAGTTGCCCAGGTTAGAGTATCAAATTATATGACCACTCCAATCAAGGTAGACTATAGATTGTATATTTCTCATGGTTTACATCTGAATTTGCTTGGAACAGAATTTGGAAAGAAACAGCTAAATGTATGCCTATACTGCATATTGAAAAAAAATCAATTTTGTCCTTTTGTTTATACTCCTTTCCTGTTTAATCTGAATGAAGAATTACTGCTTGAATTACCCATGAATTATTCAAATGCTTTTTCTTGCACAAGAAAATGCAGCATTTTCAGTGCAAGTATGAATGTCATGCAGAAGTCCTGAACTGCAAATAATAATTGAAAATTGCAGTTTCCAGAGGCTTCCTTGTGATGCAAAGATTGCTAAAATTAATCACTGCTTCCTTTGACCATGAAATTATAGTGAAGAGTTGCATCCCTTCCATGGTCTTGAAGAACTATTTTACATTAAAGAATATAGGAAGGTTCCTCAAGCTTCTCAGGAGAAACTTGGCCATTGTTTTTATTTTGGGCCAAAACAAAATCTGAGAATTTAAATTGAACCAGGAAATGAATACATAACAAATACATTTACACTGTGATTCTCTAACCCTGAAAGAATTCCTGCAGTTGAATTTTCTACCAGTTGTATCACAATCTTAAGTAAAAAGCTTGGGGATCACAACCAGATACAGGGAAGACATCTGCCCTTGCGCTTTGCTACTATACTGCTGAGTATGTATTCCTAGCATGAAACATATCTCATCATGCTAAAACAGTGGATGGGGCTCTTAATGAGACATGCCACATTATCATAGGATGTCTTCATCCCAAACCACTGGAGAAATGATACTGTTTAGCCAGTATTGCACCACCTGACATCCGCCAGGAAGTAGTAGCCAGTAATGAAAGGACCAAGGCAGTGACATCTCCAGCCCACCCCCTGTTTGGATATCAGCCAGCACACCAACACCTTAAATCAAGAAATAGTTTTCCAAGATCTACAAAGATACTCACAGGAACACATCAGCAAGCAAGAGTCCAAATGTGGCAGGCTAAAACCTGGAAACTCAATCAGTGGCTGATACCAAATGAGAGACTCCTTCTTGGGCACACAGAAGACTGGGCGACTTGGAAGGCACTTAACAGACTGAGCTCTGGCACCACAAGGTGCAGAGTTAACCTTAAGAAATGGGACTACAATGTGAAATCCACGACATGCGAGTGTGGGGAAGAGTAAGTCACAGACCACCACTGCACCCTGAGCCCTGCCACATGCATAATGGAGGACCTTCTTATAGCAACACCAGAAGCACTCCAAGTGGCCAGCTACTGGTCAAAGGACATTTAATAATGCCAAGTTTTTAAATGTTGCATTTTTGAAATACATTACAACTGCATCCACGGTTCACTTCTGATATGATAAATAAATAAGGAAAAAGCCTTACTATAATCTAATCTGGACATAACTGGAATTTATAGGTGACAAATTTCCAAGCCCTCTTACTTTTCCTCTTTAGCTTCACCAAATGGGTTCATCTAAAGGGATTCTTTTAGACATCCTATCAGTGGAGGATTATGTTTATACTTAGAAGTAAGTAGATGGACAAACACAATAAGAGCCAAAGATGTGGAAAAACAGTTTATAACTGGTTTAAAGAGCAAATTCAGAACTATAAGCGCAAAATGATGTTCCCCTGTGTTTGAAAAAAATAAACACTACCAAAAGCATAGTTGGAGGAGCAAAACAGAAAAATCTGACTTTTGAAAATAATAATCAGAAACAGTACAACACAAATAAGTGCTAGGTGGTGAAATAGAAAGGGGGCATTTTAACCGATTACTGGTGGTATCTGATTCTGATAAAAGACTTTGGTCATAATGGAAAACTGAGTGATTCTGCCTGTTCTGCCCTTCTCCCTGCTCGAAAGTCCTTTTGGCAAGAGCTTTATGGAATGCTATGAAGACTGCTTCATTTTGTAATGCATCTCAAATTCAATGAACTCATAGACATCAGCCAAATTTTGTTTGAAACTGCAACCTGTGTCAAACCCTGCTTCATTTGCATAATCTGCAAATCAGTAGTAAAGGAAGAAAGACCCCAAAACATCATGTTTGGAGGCATTACTTCAGACAACTATGTTGTTGGAGGAGGAAAGAACCTACGGTGAGAGTGAAAATTCTGCAAGATGACCCAGATGACTTGCAGAAAGTGCTATCTGAATTCCAAGTCATGGGAGAGCAGCAGAAGAATAACATGGACATCAAATGGGGACTACAAAAAAAGAGGCTGATGTTTATTCTATGAACCACTCTGAGTAGAGTGGTAAAAGACAAGAGGTTAGTCCATCGTTAGGTCCATCTTTAGGGAAAACCCAAAAGAAGCACCAACTCTCTCTCTGTCATGATGCTGCTTCTAGCCTTTATGAAAGCCTGGGCAAGGAGATGATGGTGGCAGCTGGGTGATTGCCCCCTCCCAAAGTGGCACTGGTGTTTTCCAGTCTCTATGGAATTACCGTCAACTTGTCCATGGGTCATATAAAAACCCATAATTTTGGTTCCAAAGCCTGCCCTTGACTTAGCCCTGAGGTCAACTTATACACATGTATACGGTTAATTATAATGCTCATAGGAATTGTTTTTGTTGTTTGTTCGATCAGTCACTTCTGACTCTTCATGACCACATGGACCAGCCCACGCCAGAGCTCCCTGTTGGCTGTGACCACCCCAGCTCCTTCAAGGTCAAGCCAGTCACTTCAAAAATACCATCTATCCATCTTGTTCTTGGTTGGCCCCTCTTCATTTTATATTTCCTTGAAAATATACAACTTATAACCATATATTTGCAAGCTGCTCTAGGATGTTTGTTTTAAACTAAAGAACAGATCATATCCTCCAATATTTGACAGAACCAGGACAGGTGTGGACAAACAATATCAGAGTTTAGTCAAGATGGCAAAAACTATTGATGAGGAAAAGCACATATGATAGAAGAGCTATATCAGTTTGCTTTTGTTTTAGCCTACAGGGTGGGTAGGATTTTATTCCTTTCTCTTTCCATGCTGAGTTATGGAACTCAATTTGAAGTAACTTGAAGACAATGGTGAAAGGAGGAAGAGATAAACTGGAGCCTTTTAAAGCAGAGGAAAAAGTGGGGGAGGGGGAGTGCAGAAGATTAATTGAGCATTTTGTTATTTCTGCAGGGAGGTCCTTGGGGGACAGTGAACTTTGCAAGATGCATTGTTAGTGTTAAGTTGAAATCTGACATAACAACTAGAGAAGCTATCAATGTGACCTGTATTTTCCCTGCAGTTAATGAAGCCAAAATTAGCAACAATCCTGCAAGGCAGACCTACAAATTGACATTTTCTGTCTTACTCAACATGAAGTGGAGGTACTTGGATTTTTGGAGATGTTCCCAGTCTTCATAAGAAAAAGGAGGAAAGTCCTGCACACTGCTGCACACACCCATAAGTCCTAAGATAAAAAGTAGCCAATATTCACAATTCAATGGCAGTAACCTAGAAGTCGCTGAATTTAGAACTGGGCTTAAAACTGGATTATTCAACACACACACAGAGAAAAAGCACTGGATTATAACAAGGTTTATTTAGGTTCTTGTGGGTTTTTTCGGGCTATAGAGCCATGTTCTAGAGGCATTTCTCCTGACGTTTCGCCTGCATCTATGGCAAGCATCCTCAGAGGTTGAGAAGGTTCAGACCTTCTCAACCTCTGAGGATGCTTGCCATAGATGCAGGCGAAACGTCAGGAGAAATGCCTCTAGAACATGGCTCTATAGCCCGAAAAAACCCACAAGAACCTAGTGATTCCAGCCATGAAAGCCTTCGACAATACAAGGTTTATTTATTTCCAAGAGCTGAAAAGTGAAGAAGACTGCAAAATCCCAGAGATTAGATAACCATTCGGAAATCTATATATCAAGCAAAAACAAGAAAGTTCAGTATCCTAACTATAATATCTCTTCAAGCATAAAGCCTGGAGCTTTATACAAAGCAAAATCTGAAGATCATCATAACGGCACATTTGAAATAGAAAACAAAAAAGTGCATTAGCTATTATCAGATTCATACAGAAACCCAACTAGAACTATGAAGAAAATAACCACATTATATTTTGAAGCTGCTTTCTTTAAAACACACACATATACACACTACTCTTGTTTTTCAGAAACTGATAAAAGTATAATAACTAAGCAATGTAAGTTTGAGTAAGAGTGAAATTGCTAATTATCATGTTGTGACTTTTAAAAGCAAGGAGGAAAAAATAATAATAACATGACTTGGTTGCTGTAAGTTTTTCTGGCTGTATGGCCATGTTCCAGAAGCATTCTCTCCTGACGTTTTGCCTGCATGCTTCTGGAACATGGTCATACAGCCCAAAAAACTTACAGCAACCCAGTGATTCCAGCCATGAAAGCCTTCAGCAATACAGAGAACATAAGTCTTGCGACATCATTACATGGGCTAAAATTTGGCGGTGTGCACCAGTTCCTCTTCAGTTTTGCCACAGAGCCTGGCGGCTCCTATGCCACTATGTACATCTACTTCTAGTGAAGCTTTGTGACAAAACTGAAGCGGAATTGATGTATGCTACCACAGAGGCAACACAGGAGGCTTCCAATGTTCAACAAAGGAAGCCAGACAACAACACTTCACCCCATGGGATGAGGTAAGGCAGAATCTAGATGATGCAGGGCATGGGGCAACAGGTTACCCATGCCCCCCACTGCCAGATTTGCCAAAATCCATGGTGATTCTGGTGGCAAATGTAACGAGGTCTTTGCTAACAATTGAAAGCAGGAAAGGAACAGATAGAAAGGAGCAATACAGTCAAAGAAAATAAAGATGTTCTGAAATGCAGTATACTAAAATCAGTAGATTGAACTGATGGAAAATCATGGCCATAAATTACAAACTTTCAAGTAAAACCTTACTTACATGAAGGTTTAAGCGGGTGGGGAGGAGATTAGTCTTAGGAAGAGAATCTCATTTTCATGAAAGATTTAAAGGAAATACTCACCTCTTACAGTTATATCCTTGCTCTGTTTTTGAGTACATTCTATAATTCTCCTTTTTGTGTTAGACAGAAATGTGTGCCAGTGTTACCATCTATTCTTAAAATAGATGGTACTCTTTTAAGGGTATATCCTTAAAAAATTAAGACATGTAACATTTGCAAGAAATAACAGTATTAAATATAAATGTGTGGGATTGTAATGGTTTTATCTATCTATCTATCTATCTATCTATCTATCTATCTATCTATTTGGCTACCTTTATCCTTCTCTTTTCTCCGGCCTGGGGAAATAAATATATATTTAAAATGTGTTTAAAACATTTAAAATAAATGTAAGAAAAGAGAAACAGAAATAAAGCAATTTAAATGCATGCTTCCTTTTTAAAAAATACTGTCAATCAAGCACATTATTGAAAGCCCTTGTAGAAGCCATCCTTTAAAAAGTCAAGGATGTTGAGGATGAAAGTGGAAAAGCTGGGTTACAGTTGTATACTGAGAAAGTAAACTATTATCATAGACAATTTTACAAAAAGTAAGAAGATTCTGAAATAATGAAAGATTTTGATACTTTGGTTCAGTCATAAATCAAAATGGAGAGTGAGTCAAGAAGGCCAAGACTTGAAAGGGCAGATATGAAGGAAATAGATAAGACCCTGAGGTGTAAAGATATATCATTAAATACCAGTCAGAATCATTCATCCCATTGTACTTCCAAATTCTATGAATGGCTGTGAAAGCTGGAGAGTGAAGAAGTCTGATAGAAATATCAAATAATTTGAAATGTTATTCAAAGGCCTTTTCACACCATAGAACTACAGTATTATGATTCCACTGTAACAGCTCTGTATTTATCCTGTGGTTTTACAATTTAGGTTGAAGTATTTAAAATTCTCAGCCTGAGAGCTTTAGTACCTTCCCATACTACAAATCCCAGAATTTCATAGGTTGTAGCCATTATCTTTAGTACCAAATCATACAGCCATAACCATGTAGTGTAAAAGAGCCCCTGAAGGAGAGTTCTATGAATAACATGGACTGCTAGATAAATAAATGGGTTGGAGAGCAAATTAAGCCTGAACTCCCTCTAGAAGTCAAAATGACTAAAGTGAGACTATTGTGCTTTGAGATGACATGGCTCGTTGGGAAAGATGATAGTGCTGGGAAAAGTGGAAGTGGCAAAAAAGGAAGATATGTCACATGTGGATTGATTTATTAAAGAAAGCCACGATTTTGAGTTTGAAAGGCTTAAGCAGGGCCATTGACCAAGCCTCTTGAAGATCTTATTCATAAGGTCACCATAGGTTGTAGCTAACTTAACAGCACAGGGGTGTTAAATTATCACAAAGAGGTGGAGTGTATATTTTCTTTTTATTACATACCTTTCTATTGCTTCACAGCCTCCCTGGCTACTCATGTTTCCTGATCAGAAAAAAAAAATCAATGGGATGAATTCTTTATATAAGCAACATACATTATTGAATTTTCTTGTGCTTACTTTCCCAAATGTGTGCATATTTATTTTTGTTTAAATAAAATAATTGATATAATAAGGCCTCCCTCTGAGGCAAAAATCAGTGGATGACCAAAACTTCCTGAAACTCAGCAGGCTTAAAACCGTAAATGTTGCCTACAAGTGTGCCAAGTTCATCCTGATAGCTGTAAAAATGATGGAGAAATGAGCCACACAATTTTCCCCATTGCTGCTAATAGAACTAATTTTAATGAAGCAATTACAAAGCTTCGGAGATTCAGATTACGAATTAGAACAGGATCCCTCCAAAAATTTACTAATTGAAGCGGGGCTATCCGAATCTCGAATTACTGATGAGATTTCAGTCATTTCCACACACCTCTATTGTGAAAGGCAGGAGGCTCACTTCGGGTACTTTGCGGTCAACCATAAACACACGAAAAATTTATTGTTATTTGACATTAAACCTGTCTCTTTTTTGTGAAATTTAATGAAGCTGGTCAAAAATATATAAGAATCTTTCTATCACATCCTTGCTAATTGTATCAACAGCTTTACTAAAATACAGGGGGTGTTTTTCAGCCGTACAGAAAGGCTGGCATTGATTGATGTGTCTGTTTTCGGTGATGCAATAGTGACTTAAAATTTGCCATATGCTGATTTCAAGTTAATGAAGCATGCAGCCACAATAGATGTTTGATGCAATATTAGAAGTGCATTGTGTAGTTTATTTGTTAATTGCATTTACTGAAGCTGTAATACAGCTAAATCACTTTGAAACATGAAAAATATAATGTAATTACAAGGGAAGCACTAGATTTCTATCAATTCCTGTGGATGTAGCAGCACTAGATCTCTGTCAGTTTCGATGGATTGCCTTCCGGTTATCCTGGAAGAATTCTGCATAAAACCTATTGTGAATGTTGGCCAATACTCCAGAAGACAGGAGCAGGATTCAAAATGATCTTGACAGATTAGAGAGATGGGCCAAAACTAACAAAATGAAGTTCAACAGGGACAAATGCAAGATACTACACTTTGGCTGGAAAAACGAAATGCAAAGATACAGAATGGGGGACAATGCCTGGCTCAAGAGCAGTATGTGTGAAAAAGATCTTGGCGTCCTCGTGGACAACAAGTTAAACATGAGCCAACAATGTGATGTGGCGGCAAAAAAAGCCAATGGGATTTTGGCCTGCATCAATAGGAGCATAGTGTCTAGATCCAGGGAAGTAATGCTACCCCTATATTCCTTCTTGGTTAGACCACACCTGGAATATTGTGTCCAATTCTGGGCACCACAATTGAAGATTTTGTTGCCTAAGAAAGACTTTGTTGCCTAAGAAGAATTCCTTGAGACTGTGTTGCCAAAAGAAGAATTCTTTTGAAGATAAAGATAGAGACTTTTGAATTCCTTCACTGAAATCCGACTCCAGGAAAGGATGGACTTTATTATCTTTAGTCTGTTGTTTATTTCTCTATGTTGACATGATATCTACATTTATTTATAATGTGCTGACAACATTCTTGTTAAATGCTATAAAGTCGCAGACAAGTTATTCCAACAGAGAGCATAAAATCCTGATTTATATTACTTTCTTGAGAGTCTTATAAGATATACATACATACATTTTTGTTCTATGTCATTATAGATACTTGTGCATTGTTTGCTTTGTTTACTAACGAAAATATGTCAAAGGAAAATCAAAAGATACTGGAAGAAATGTCAGGAATTCAAGTCTGTACAAAAATAAAGTACTTAGGAGTCTGGATAACTGCAAAAAATTCTCAATTATTAAAGAATAATTATGAAGCTAAATGGACAGAGATAAAGAAAAATTTGAATAATTGGAAACATTTAAATTTATCAATTTTGGGGAAAATCGCCACAATAAAAATGAATGTCCTACCGAAAATGTTATATCTCTTTCAGAATATACCTATAATTAGAAATAATAAATTATTTGACAATTGGAACAAAGAAATTTCAAAATTTATCTGGAATGGTAAGAAACCCAGGATCAAATACACAAATATGATAGATCAAAGGAATAGAGGAGGAATGGGCTTACTTGATCTAAAATTATATTATGAGGCATGCGGACTTTCCTGGGTGAAAGACTGGATTTCACTTAAAAAAGAAAGACTCCTAACAATTGAAGGTTTTGACCTAAGATTTGGGTGGCACTCGTACCTGTGGTACAATCAAACATTAAAAGAAAAAAACTTCAATAACCATTTTATTAGGGCAGCATTAATAAAAATTTGGAATAAATACAAAACGAGAATGTATCCAAGAACTCCACAATGGGTGTCACCACTAGAAGCGAGACAAAGAAGATTGCTAGGATGGACTAATTGGCCAACATATAAAGATGTATTAAGAAAAAAAGATAATAAATTACAATTGAAGACAAGAGAAGAGATAAATACCCAATTCGCAAACGTATCTTGGTTTCAATATCTACAACTCAAAGAATACTACAACTCAGATAAAAAAAATAGGCTTCATGACAAAGGAAGACATATGGGAGCAGATTTTAGGAAAGAAGAAAAAAACATAACAATAATCTATAACAAATTACTAGAATGGGCTACCGAAAAAGAAGTAATAAAAGAATGTATGATCAAGTGGGCAAAAAACATCGGAAGAGAGATACAATACAAAGAATGGGAACAAATTTGGACAAAAAAGATTAGATATACTTATTCGAAGGAAGGCAAAAGGAAGAGGGGCCGACCAAGGGCAAGATGGATGGATGGCATCCTTGAAGTGACTGGACTGA